CTCTCCTCCTCTCTTTCTCTCTTTTTCTCTCTCTTCTCTCCCTCTCTTTTTCCTCTCTCTCTTTCCTCTTTCTCTCCCTCTCTCTCTCTCTTTTTCTCTCTCCCCCCCATCTCTCCCTCTCTCCGATCTTCTGCTCACCTGGCAAGCTGGCTTTAAACTATTCTCCAACAAGCTGACACACATGAGCTGGCTCTCTCCTGACCTTCCTGCTTCCTGCAGAGAGGCAGCCAAGGCAGGAGCCCCGCCCAATAAGCTTGTCAGCTCGTCGGAGAACATGGTGAGGCCATTCTCTTTTTTACACACACACACACACACACACAGAGAGAGAGAGAGAGAGAGAGAGAGAGAGAGAGAGAGAGAGAGAGAGAGAGAGAGAGAGAGAGAGAAGGGAAGCGCAAGTGCCTCTCTCTGTCTCTGTGTCTCTCTGCGAATGGCAGAGGAGGCTGGGAGCTGCAGGAAAAGGCTCAAAGAGCCGCATGTGGCTCTGGAGCCGCAGGTTGCCGACCTGTGGACTAGGCTATGTTCTGCAACAGAGATGAGAAAATGTAATGTTGAATCTGCATTTCTCTATAATAATCTATCTCCTGTTAGTGAAAGATAGTATAGAGTCAGTATTGTAGGGGGGCTAGGTCAGCACCTCATAGGTAGAACTGTCCATAGATTGCTTTGATCAGAAATCTAAAATGATCACTTGCACAAAGCTTTTGTTTCAAAATCAATTCCACTGCCTAACAAATCAATAGATTTGTTGAAAAAGTTGAAAGAGTTGAAAAAATGCTAGAACAGCCTGTGGAAATAGTTCTAAACTGCCAGTTTCTCTCAGACATGACTGTTTATTTGCTAGAGATAAAATACAGCAATCTCATTATTCATTAATGCTCATTACCTTCATTAGCTTCAACTTTTAGAATAGGGGTTATGGGACAGATTACTGAACCTGTTTACACACTGAATGCTTCATTTCTGAGAAATCAACAGCTGCTTCCCAAACAGCAGCATTGCTTCATGTATTTTTAGCAATAAAAAAGTGGTCACTAGTTGCTTGATGTTACTTGCCCCTGTTCTCAAAGTGGGCTGATTACAAAGACAGTATTTACTAGGTAGATTATTAATTATTCCCTCATTGCCTTGGCGGGGAAATGAACAGCAACTGCCACCTACACAACTGGCAAATGCAGTGAGAAAGAAAAAAACAAAGTGCTGAGGGAGGCTATATGCCAACGTACAACAGGAAAACATCTCTCTTTGCCAATTTTGTACATCATGCTAATTTTGTATAATCATGAATTGTTGAATAAACTATAATTGCCTGGGATTTTACAATATGCTATATCAAAAACCATGATTGCTTGGGGTTTTATAACATTGTATATCTAAATTAATTAAAAATTATGATGATAGCATGAAATGTAAACTCAGAGGTTCAGTTCTCATATCACTTTAACCATTGGTTTAGTTTGAGCTTGTGTGAACCTAGCAGTTATATCATACAAACTGTGGTTTATCCATGGCCTTCAATCATAGGCCATGGAAGGAGGAAGGGCATTAGTCTATGTGAGGAGGAAAGGTATATCCAATATTTATAAGGTTACTGCTATATCCTTAGAGAATTCTTTAAACACTAATTTAGCACTGTTCTCAAAAAGCTGTCCGTTACTTTTTAACCTTGTGCCTAGAAACTAACTCTATAAAGTAATTTATTTTATTACTAAATATTATTTTATTATAAAGTAATAAATACTTCACATTGTTTTACTTTTTAAAATTCTTACTAAAAGTAGAACTTAAATCAGATAATAATATAGAAAATGTAATGTAAGTAAAAGCAAAATTAAAATGAAACTGAACACTTCTTTATGTAGACAAACAAGGTAACATAAAAGACAAAAATATGTATATCAATAACAATTATTCGCTTACTGGTAAAAGAGGAACAGAGCTAGAGTAGCCACCAGAAAGATCTCTCACATTCCTGTCAAATGTATGTGCAATGAATATAGATAAGGGCTTATCACAAGAATCTTAGAGCTAGTAGACTATTATAAAGATTGCTGTTAGTTAAGGAATTTGACACTATTGTATTGATACTGTGTGTCTGGAAATAAATTGTAGCGAGTATTTTAAAAAATCTCCAGTTGGTTTAATAAAGATATTCCTATAATATGGAAGTTGTAATACAGAAGTTGTCTATAATTCGCCCTTTCGACAGACTGACTAATTCTTCTAGGTAAAGTTTGTGAACAGTTTTCAAAGCAGTTGTGCACAGTTGTTACAGGTGTCCAAAGAAGATGTAAATAAAACCCTTTTAGTTGGTGCCATGTTTCCAGAGTTACTTTTATACTACCATATGCCCATTTCTATTTTTTAAAATTATTAAAAATAATGAAGTATCTTAATTTCTTTTTCATGATTATTTGGCAGTTTCCCTGAATTTATCAATTCCTATCTTCTCCTTCTAAGTAAAATATACAATTGCCCAAAAGCTGATCAGTTTTAATTATTCAAACTCTACAGTATCGTAGAGCTTAAAGTACCGTAATACTAGATTTATAACTATCCATTCAGAATAAATGTATGGTGGTTATAACCAGTCCTCAGAATTTTGTTTGTGGTCACATGATCACAACCTAGGCACTTGGCAACTGTCTCCCACTTACAATCGTTGCAGTGCCCAACAATTACCTGATTACCATTTGAAATCTCCCCTGCAGGTTTCACCAGAAAGTCAATGAGGAAGCAGAAAAGGTCACAAGTTTCTAGGTTAAGTGTCTCTCACTTGTGCACCTTTCCTTAGTGCAGTGGTTCTCAACGTTTGTGTGACGGCGACCCCCGTCACACAAACGTTATGCGCATGCGCGGTGCCCCCCGCGCGCGGCGCGCATGGGGGCGCCCCCCCGCACACGGCGCGCATGCGCAGCGCCGCCCCCGGAGGCACGGCGCCGCCCCATGCGTGGCACGCATGCGCGGCGGCGCCCCCCAGAGGCGCGCCGCCGCCCCACGCGCGGCGCGCATGCGTGGCGCTCTTCCTCCTGTCCGAGGTTTTCATTGTTGTGAGGCATTTCTGTTGGGGATTGGCAGCGGGATGCGGTGGGGGGTGTTTGGTTTTTATTCCCCCTGTCTGCTGGGTGGTTGCAGCAGGTTTTGGTTACTTCATATGACCCTGGGACACTGTGACCATCATAAATATGAATCAGTTGCCAAGCATCTGAATGTAAATCACAAGACCCTGGAGATGCTGCAACATTGCAGCTGATCGGCGCTTCTTCTGGGCTTAGCAGAAGTGCCAGGATCAGCGCCGAGCTCCAGCTGGAGCCTAGTGCTGATCCTAGCACTTCCGCTGAGCCCTGACAGCCCTGTAGCTTCAGCCATCTCCCGCTCAGGCTTGTGTGGTGCTGCCAACGGTTCAGCTCATTCCCCTCCCCCACTACCACTTTTCTAGGATGGTCGCATAGCACCTGCCAGGTGCCAATGTACCACAGGTGGTACCCATATCACTGGTTGAAAAGCCCTGATGTAGATGATGCTGTAAAATAATGTATGATTTAGTGATTCCATAGAGGCAGTTATTCTATGGTCTGCCCTTGAAATGATAAATTAATAAGACAAAAGGAAGGCAACAAAATCTGATTCTTGAACAACAAAATTCTGATATTGATACATATTATATTAAGTATATTAATACAATATAATTATAATATAAATATAATCAATACTTAATATAATTTGTATACTTAATATACAAATATATACTTCACATGATACCACATGATACCACTCTAATGGCAGAAAGTGAAGAGGAACTAAAGAGCCTCTTGATGCGGGTGAAGAAGGAGAGTGCAAAAGTTGGCTTGAAACTCAACATTAAGAAAACCAAAATCATGGCATCCGGCCCTCTCAATTCCTGGCAAATAGATGGGGAAGAAATGGAGGTAGTGACAGATTTTCTTTTCCTGGGCTAAGATCACCTCAGATGGGGACTGCAGCCAAGAAATTAAAAGATGCTTGCTCCTGGGGAGGAAAGCTATGGCAAATCTAGATAGCATACTAAAAAGCAGAGACATCACCCTGCCAACAAAAGTGTGTATAGTCAAGGCCATGGTTTTCCCAGTTGCAATGTATGGATGTGAAAGTTGGACCATAAGAAAGGCTGAGCGCAAAAGAATTGAGGCCTTTGAACTATGGTGCTGGAGAAGACTCCTGCGAGTCCCTTGGACTGCAAGGCGTTCAAACCGGTCAGTCCTAGAAGAGATCAACCCTGACTGCTCTTTAGAAGGCCAGATCCTGAAGTTGAAACTCAAATACTTTGGCCACCTAATGAGAAGGAAGGACTCACTGGAGAAGGGCCTAATGCTGGGAAAGATTGAGGGCAATAGAAGAATGGGACAATAGAGAATGAGGTGGCTGGATAGAGTCACTGAAGCAGTAGGTGTGAACTTAAATGGACTCCAGAAGATGGTAGAGGACAGGAAGACCTGGAGGAATGTTGTCCATGGGGTCGCGATAGGTCGGACACGACTTCGCAATTAACAACATACTTCACATGAATAATACAAATTAAACAAATTTGGGACAAGAACATAGCCATCTTTTATGGGAAAAGTAATGAGATTAGAATAAAGACAGAAGTCTCTTATTAATGGAAGTAACCTAGTGTTCCACTTAAGATGAAATCAAGTCTCCCAGTCCATGAAAATCACATTAGTTTCTATCAGAAGAGGTTAAGATGCTTTCTGGATATTGTCTTTCTGCTGCCATGTATTAGTCATCCATATTTTTGCAGCCCAGATAATCTATAACTTTAGAATTTTTGCAGAGATCTGTCGATGGCAGGATCTCTCTGAATGGACCTCGCCTAACAAGCAGAATCATTTTGATTGGTTAAGCCACAAACCATTGATCACAAACAACCAACAGAAGGCCAATAAAAACACCGTATGATTTACTTTGTTGACTACAGTACACCAGGCTATTGAGTGGTTATTTTCTCAAAGTATACTCACTTGACAAGTCCTGGTATATATTTTTTTTGCTCAATTGTCCATCTCGCTAGATTTGAGTTCGTTAAGTGGGAATTCCTCTCAGGGTACGGCATAATGAGAACCACCCAGGGCGCTCAAGACGCGCTTATCTTTCGTCTTTCACTACCAGTCCGCAAAAACAAAACTAAATATAACACCGCCAATTTTCCAAACAGTGGCGCGGAATAACACACGCACTACGAAGAACCTTCTCCAGAGGAGTAAGCTCATCTTCTAATCCTCTGCACATGAAAACCGTCCTTGGACAATTCTGAATTTGCTGCCATGTCGACGCCCGTCTTTCTTGGAATTTGAATGCCGCAATCCAGCTTTAACAGATTATTCATTCCTCGGCAAGTCCGCGCCTACACGCAGGCCGCCGCCTAGTATTACCTCAAGATTTCACGTGCGCAGACTGGCCGTTATTCTCGCGCTCTCCTCGGTGAGGAGTGCGAAAGAGGCATAAGCGATGGGCCGAGTCTAGACAAGGAGAGGCACTCGCGCTCATGCGCGCGGTTGCAGCCGCGGCCAAAACCAGCGGTCGTTCTCCGGCGCATGCGCCCTTTCCTCCGGTTTTGCTTAGGCTATTTGAACAGGAAGGCGGACATATTTGTGAGTGCTCCCTCCTGGATTAGCTACTGTACTGAGGCGATAGTGACTACCCTGCGGCTTTGTACTTTTGCCTTCGTTCATCTCTGTAATTGGAAGGAACCTGCATTTTTTTATCTTCCCATCCCCCCCCACGCCAAGCCAGACCAAGGTGGGGCAGCAGAGCAGCGGAACTCTGGCAAGCTGCACCTACTTCTCCTGAGACTTTTGAATCCCGGTCCGCATCGGGAAAAGAAGAGAAACGCAGCGGCCGGAGAAGCCGCAGACGAGAAAGGAGCGGGGAGAGGAAGAAAGTATCTCAACCGTTAGGCAGCGGTTGAAGAAAACGGCGCATCTGAAAAGCAAGGCGGAGGCGTCTGCTTGCTTTCTTCTCCTGACCCAGAAGTGAGGAGCTAGCTTAGCCTCTGAGGCGGCTCGCCCTCGCCACCTCCGCCGTGGCTTGAGTACGAATGAAGCCGTGCGCCTCCTCAGGCCCGAGTCTCTATGGAGGGAGCAGCTCGATGACGCTCCGCTGAGAAAGTTTCCTGTTTTTCATGGTAGGCCGCACACTTTTCTCCACCCCCCCTTCTTCCCTTCTTTCAAAGCTGCTACTGTGTAGCTAATACCAAAGAGAAGCAGGAGGAACCGCTACACTGATTGAGAAAATGTGGTTCCTTCGACCCAGGGCCTCAGGCTGGAGACCAGAGCACACCGGAGGGCTAGTGAGTACCGCGTAGAGACTTGCGGGGCAACCGAGAAGGCGACTCCCCCAGGACGGAGCAGCGCCTCCCTTCTCTTTTTCGACGGTCTCGCTTTTGTCGCGCGACGATGTGTAACGGGGGGAGAACAAGGGACAACCCCAGCCAGTCTCCGGCTCTTTGAGAGGGCGAGCTCAGGGAGCACCCCCCCCCTCCAGAATTGATTTCCTGTGGATTAAGGAGACCGCCTCTTCAACATTATGTCGACAGGAGAAAGCTTTGAGTCCCGGTTTGAAAAAATCGGGATGATGATAAAGGACCCCAAATCTGAAGTGAATTCGGATTGCTTACTGGTGAGTGGCATTAACTTCCTTTTTGGTTTCTATTAAATGGGAGGGGGGACTTCCTTGAGAGTTTTTTTCCCCTTAAATACAAGATCTTGGTTGCTTTTTTATCTCTCGAAGTTTGAGTCTTGCATGTATGGATGATGGTGATTTGAAGAAGGCTACCATAAATATTTTGACAAAGCCCTTTTATATCAGCACTCAGTCTAGAAAGAGGCAGTTCTGTTTTCTCAATTTAAAATAATTCTTTCTTGTAGGCTTATGTTTGGGTCAAGGCCCGCTATAGGGGGATCCTCAATTTATGATAACTATTAGGACTGGAAGTTCTAATAACTAAATGATGCAGTTAAGCAAGTTGCATCCCATTTTATGAGCTTTTTTTGCTGTAGTTGTTAAATGAATCATGGTAAAGTGAATTCAGTTTTGCTCATTAACACTGCTTGTCCAAAGCTCCCTGAGAGAAGGTTGCAAATGGTGAGCATGTGATTCCAAGATGCTGCCAATGTTGTAAGTATATGCTGGTTTTCAAGTGTCCAAATTTTGACCACATGACTGCAGGGAGACTGCAATATTCGTAAACACAAGGATTGATCATAAGTCACTTCAAATGATTGTAAGTTGAAGAGTACTTGTAATGTGTTTTGGAACCCTTTTGAGAATTGGAACTCAATTCAGATAAGTCAAAGAAATTGAATTACTTGAAAGAGGTTAAGATGATTGTATGATTAATGTGTTTTCCAACCAACAGAATCCATATACTGTCTGATATTGAAAGGGTTGCCCTAGATGTTGAAGGTGGCTTAACCTAATGTTAACACAAAAAAGTTCACTGTTACAAAAATAAGAATTAGCTTGCTTATGAAGATTTATTTACATGACCACATGTACTGATTTAGGGAGTGATACTGGTATGCTAGTATTAGAGAAGTGTTCAAACATCATACTAAACTGAATATTTGGCTAGTTTGTGGCTCAGAAGTGAACCTATGTAGTTTGTTTATGTTTCTGTGGTTATTGATTCAGGCACTTAGTTAAATAAATAAACTATACTCCAGTTAACCATGGAATAGCTTGTTGTGTAAATACAGCTGGGGTGAATCTCGTAGAACATAGATTCCTAACCTAATAAGATTAATCCAGGTAGCCAATGGTTTTCTGTCCTGCAAAAGAGACAGATTAAATGGTGTGTGATGCATTGAATTTTAAGTAGCTGAATTAGATTTACACATTTGTGCATAATTTCATTTTTCATATTAAGTCACATGAATAAGTTGATATGGCTTATTTGTCCTTAAATTTTCCAGTAATAATGTTTAAAATGTTTGAATACATTCTGGTATAATAGAACACTTTCCAATGTACAATACTGTAAAAAAAAAAAAAGAATTGAAAGCCACATGGCAGTGCAAGGTAAAGAATCAACCATATTTTATCTTTATTTTGTAGCTAGTTTATAAACTTTATAATTGTTACTAAGGACAAGTATAATTGAAAATAGTTATTGAAGGAGCTTAGTATGAGAGATTAGACCATTGTTTTAATTGCCTTTCTATTCAATCACTGTATTCTACTTTTTAAAAATAAACCACCTTTTTATTTTTATCCATGTTTTGTCAAGTGTAAAATATTATTTTTTCTTTTATAGACAGTTGCTATCTATCAGTGAACTAGCAGTAGCAGGTTACTGTATATTTGACACATGTAGTTAATCTGGCATAACAGGAGTACCTAGAGCACTGTAGTTGATATATCTTTTGCTGCCCTTGAAAGCTGCCTCTTCCCTATGGATGGAACCAAAATTTGAGCCCTTTATGGGGGGGAGGATTAAGAAGTTAAGTGGGTCCCTTAATTTAAGGCACCATTTTGCTCCTTAAAATCCTCTAAATCTCCTTCTCAAACAGACATCCCTCCAGTTTTGAAAAACAGCCATTAAGATGCTGCACAAAGCCTGGAAATGTCCTTGAAATGCTAGACATTTCTCAATCTCAGGCATAATATTGATATGAGAGCACTGCTTGTATCAATTGTTCATAGTAAATGCTTTGTGTGTTAGGCTGATGATTGGGACAGATTCATTTAACTGTTACTGTGTACCTTTTAAATTTATAGGACAGATATTTTTTAGCATAGTCATAGATGGTTATACTAAGTCCATAATCAAGAGTAACTACTAAATGATGTATCAGTAATAGAAATGTAGGAAGATGCCTGATATGAATTAAGAGTTTTTTGCCCAACTACAGGTAGTCCTTGACTTACTACAACAATTGAGCCCAATATTTCTGTTGCTAAATGAGACATTTGCCGAGTGAGTTTTGCCCCATTTTACAACCATTCTTACCACAGTTGTTAAGTGAATCACTGCACTTGTTAAATTAGTAACAGATTGTTAAGTGAATCTGGCTTCCCCATTGACTTTGCTTGTCAGAAGGTCACAAAAGGTGATCACATCACTCTGGGACATTCAACTGTCATAAGTATGAGTCAGTTGCCAAGCGTCTGAATTTTGATCACATGACCATGGAGCTGCTGTAATGGTTGTGAATGTGAAAAACTGTCACAAGTCACTTTTTTCAGTGCTATTGTAACTTCAGTCACTAAACAAACTGTCATAAGTTGAGGATTACCTGTAGCTTAGAAATGTCTATATTTATAATTGGGTTAGGTTCGAGATAGTTATCTTGTATGTCTAATTTAGAGAAAATAGTAATTTTAATGAATAGTAATTTTAATTTGGGAATAGTGCTGTGTAGCCCTTTGGTTTAAAACTTCCACATTTGATCCAGATTGTATGAAAGCACAAACATGCTTCTTGTTTACAACCTTACACTAAGGTGATCTTTCCCTGGATTTCATAGCAACTTTGGAGGGCAATAATGTGACTCTTGTGAAGGACATAGATGCTTTAGGTTGTTGCAAATAGTGTAGCATTCTCCAAATAACATTCTTGAGGTTGAATTAGCCTTGATGCAGAGAGTATACTCTGATATTACACTATTTTCTAAATTTGTGGAAAAGTGATAGCAGATCACTTTTCACCTGATGCTGCTCTATCCTTGTTCTCCTGGCTCTCTTTCCCTTTCTCCTGACCTTATTGGCTCTTTCATCTTGTATTTTGGAAACAAACCTCTATGTACTTGTAGAGTCTGTAATATATATATAATTGGGTTAATATTTTCATTTTATGCATACTGTGTAGTTTTTTTATTAATAACCAATATTTTGCCTGTATCATGTACATTTCTAGGTAATGGAGTGAATTTATGGTTGTACTGTGAATAATATGCAGCATGAAAATCTCAGCAGAAATTACGTCTATATTTGATTAAGGAAGTTGTCAATTTATCCCTTAGCATATATATTATATTTCCTGGCAAGGATCAGATATAGCACTGGTGCTCAGGTAAAAACCTGACACTTGCTTACAGGTCTCACTCCCATCTTCTCTTTTTTTCCTCATGGAAAAAATATTGTTAATTGCTTTCTCATTTGAGTCTATTCTGAAGTTTACATAAACAAAGTCTGTAGATTTTGGATCTTAAATAGACTAACTGGGGGTGCAAGATGATGTTCCAGGGGTGCAAAAACTTGGGTTTTCAAAATTATAGTGTATATGCTTAACTCGTTCCCATTATTTTGAACTTTTGTAAGGGGTGCGAGAATATATCAGAAGCGTTCTAGGGGTGCGGGGTATAGAAAGGTTTGGGAACTGCTGGACTAGCTAAACCCAAGTCCTGCAGCTGTTCTTCGTATGTTTCAGTCTCCAGACCTTTGATCAATTTGGTTGCTCTTCTCTGAATTTTTTCCAAATGCTCAACATCTTTTTTGTGATATGGTGACCAAAATTGGCTGCAGTAT